TGCAGCTATCGGCAAACTTGCCGAGGCAGAAAGTGAAGCACGTGATGCGGAAGCTCTGCTGGAGAAGAATCGCGATGACTTTGATAAGCAGTATGCAGAGAACGAAGCCGCCTTGGCCGAGAGTGAGCAGAAAGTAAGTTAGGACTCAGCTACTCATAGTTCGTTTCTGATAGGCTGCGTCCATACTTTGTGACCACAATCATGCGGTAGCGTTTCGAGCGAACGCCAGCGCCAGCGAAAAGGAAAGTGTAGATATCGATCCTGCGTTTGCCAACGTCTACCAGCATCCAGGAGTGGAGAGTATGGGGAAGTAGGAGGGTAACTGACAGCTGTATCAGGGGTCGTGAAGGTGCGACGTGTGTAGCACCGAACAACTGTTAAAGCACTTAATTACGCAATCTTGATATACGGTGCGGTGCAGTTGTACGGTGCGGTTGCGCATGCTTCAATTTCACGACTCGTGATCCAGCTGTCTGCTACCCTCTTACTTCCTTATATTCTCCACTCCTGGACGCTACTGTGCGCCGGTGGAAGCTGCTGCAAAGTATGAACGCAGCCATACGTGGAATTTCAATAAGTGTGATCTGCCGTGATTCCTTCGAAGGACGCATTAGGTCTATAACCTTTTTTTAGTTACACATGTTGGAAGCTGCATTACCAACGTTGAATGCAGAAGTCTGTGGAGCTGCATCTGCTCCCTGTGATGCTCTTTGTGGCGGTAGGTTTTTCTTTCTTGTTGTCACGGCGCTCAACTGTGCTCTTGTTCTGTATATCATTTCTACTTTTGAGTAGTTGCTTGGTAAAGGGAACCGTTGTAGAGTAGTTTTAAATCACAGGTCCCGGGTCATGTGGTTTTTGTGGTGGTCAATCGTGTTTGGAGGGAGCAGTTAGTAAAGCAGATCAAGCAAGGAGTTTCTCTCTTGAAGCTGATCTGAAACTCAACGAAAAGCAAAAAGAGGCAGAAGAGGTGATTGCATCAGTATTTTTTTCTCCACGTTGTGTCTGAAAATGCAGGCTGTTAACTCTTGTTTAGAAGACGTGCTCCATTCAACAGCAGCCGCTAAGAAGGACGCCTTAGCCGCATTAGAAGTCGCACGAAATGCCGCTCAGAAAACGAATTCGTCACGTGCTGAATTAGATCAAATTGTTGATCAAATGAATACCTTCTTGAAAAGCTCAAGGTAAGTGCTGCCTGCCGAGTCCAGCTATTTAGAAATTGGGACAGTTTATAAATTTTTCAGGAGTTCACCTGAGCAGATTAGAGCTTTAGCAGAAGAAGTGCTCGCGAAGAAAATCAGTCTCACTCCTGAGCAGATAGCTGATTTAACTGCAAAGGTTTCTTAGCAATTTCTTTCATACTTTTTCAGTAAGTATGCAATTATTTGAAGATTCGCGACTCTCTCACGAAAATCAATAATATTGGAGCAATACTTGCCGAGACACGGGGAAATAAGACGTTAGCAGCTAATCTTGAAGCTAAAGTAGGTTCTTAATGCATGCTTACCGAAGAGAATACTTCAGTTAATTTGATGTATTCCTCCCTTAGGCGCTCGAGGCAAGTGCACAAGCTGCCGCCTATCAAGAATACCACTGATACTGTCAGAGAAGCGATTCAAGTCGCTGAGGAAGCACAGCTTGCTGCAACCGAAGCAATCCGATCTGCTGAGGAAGTGATGAAGATGGCAAGGTTTGGATCTTATCCAGTTTTAATACCCGCTGCAACTTTGCATTATCATGGCCTGGATCTTGATTCATTTCTTGTGGCACCAGGATTTGAATCACAAGCAGTACTTGTTTAGAGAACATCTTGATGCTGCCAAAACGGAGGCTGATGCCACCGAATCTCGTGCTAAGGAGGTCAACTCCAGTCTTTCCTCACTTGAAGGTGAAATGAAGAAGGTCAAGGTGCAGTACTTGCAAATAGCCGATGACGCCAAGAATGCCTTCCATTTGGTTGACAAAGCTTTGCAAGCGGCGAAGACTGCTGAGCAAGGAAATAAGCAAATGACGGTACGTTATGCCCTGACTATCTTTGCTCTGGTGCCATGACTCAGCTGTGCGATTTCCAGACAGATATCGAGGAAGCTAAGCGACTTTTATCGGAAAGGACGCAGGGCAATGAAGCTCCTCAGAAACGAGCCGAAGCTCTGCGACAAAGGGCTTCGAAGCTTCTCTATAAGGCGCAGCGAAGTAGTGATGATATCAGCGGTGAGTAGTCTTCGAATAGTAGTTTTTTGCCGCGTTCCGTGCCCGGGAAGACCGCTCCATTTCTTCTTCCATTGGACCGTGATAACGCGCTGTCGGGGAGGGGGGGGGGGGATGGTCCTCCTGTTATTCCATCGAGGGAGGTGACATTGGAGTTTGCTCCTATTCTCTTGCTCTCCCAATGCGCCAAATCGATACTGATACTTTATTCGGCGGGTGTT